GCTGCTGCACGTCGCTGCGTCGCTTGAAACATGGAACCTTGACAAACGGACAGGCAATGGTTGCTTACCTAAAGCTGCTCCCAACCAGGTCGCTCAGATGTGCGCCCAAGACCACGTGACTCCATCCAAAACCTCAGCCTCGCCTGTCTCTAAGCTGATACGTTGTCCTGCACTGCTGCACTGCGCCCTTGGTTCGTCCCGCCCGCTGCGTGCTCCAGATTCCATTCTCAATTCCCCATCTTCTCTCCAAACCTTGCCAATCGACCAACAAAAAATTTTATCGACCGCCCAGCGGCCCGCCTGCAAGCAATAACTAGCAAAAATCCCACCTCCAAACATCTCGCATCACGTGACCGAAATCGACGAGCAGACGAAAAAAACACCATCCTTACAGGACACGACTTTTGCGCGCGACGACGAGTGGCTCCCCGATAGCCACCCCTTCCCACCCCTGAACGTGTGCAAGTAGATGCCTCGGCCCACCAAGAGCTCCTCATAGAGGCTGTCAGTACGTCCCGCGACGCGCGACTCTCAGCCTTGCGACGTCTTGATAAGATGACACTTGTCTAACGTCTGAGATGCAGACCCTGGCGCCCATCCACCTTCTCCCGAGACGCGACGGCTCCCTCGATCACTGGCGAGGTGGGCTTTGGGGCATGAATAATCCGGCCGCCTACACTCCTCTCGAGTCCTTGTTTCTGTTCCAAGCTATCCTTAAGCACGGCGTCGAAGCCACTGCCTTCATCAAGGTCTCCGATCTCCTCGTCAACAACTCGCTGATCAAAGATGACAAGACCTACGACGCTAAACGACTGAGCCCGGATGCGCTTCGACAACTCTTCCTGCACCTGCTGCAGGAAGAGCTGAGGATCGAGAATGCGACAAGCGAAAAGCCCGAAGGCGCGTCGCCGACTTTGAAGAAACGCAAGCTGAGCCATCCGCCACTACCTACGCTCAAGGAGGTCAAGGAGCAGTCACACAGGTTCCCCGCGTTGGTGGATCGACTCTATGCAAGATACAAGGAAAATGTCGTCAGGGACATCAGGGAAGATGAACGGCGCATCGAGACGCTCGCCAGAGATATCAAGATCCTGGAAACGCAAGAGGCCATCGATCGCGCAAAGGCGAACACACCCCGTCCAGTAGCACCAAACGGGTCCTCAGTGCCAAAGCCTGTCCCGACACCTGTCCCGGTTCCTTCTTTGATTTCGACGCCCGGCCAGGCCGCAGCTCAAAATCAAGCCAAGCGATCGACCCCGACGCCTCCCGTTGAGACTTCGCGACCGATTCGGCCTGCGAACGGACAAGGCTCCGTCCCAACGCAGACTCCAGTACCGATCCCGAGACACGTACCATTGCAGCCTCAAACCCACCCGCGGCCACCAACAACCGTTGCGCCAGCTCCACCACCGACTATACAGCCTGCACCGGCGAGACGAGATGTGGCTCCGCCGGCAGGCGCGTTCCAGCCATCACCTACGGTGCCTCCGGCGCAAGTTGTGTCCGCTGCCGGCGCATCTGTTGCGGTGCCTGCTAACGGGCCAGATGCCAGGCAGCATCAAAACTTGAAGCCGTCCAATAGTGTCGGTCAGGTCTTGCAGCCCCCTGCTGGTGCTGTGCATCCGCCAGTCCGACCCGGCCAGTCAACGTCGCCTGTCCCTCTGCCAGCAATATCACCACGGCCGGATAACGTACCCAAAACCCGGGTTCCAACACCGGGGACGCCCGCTCAACCCTCAACTCCGGGTACTCTGAAGTGGGAAAAGCCATATCAGCCTGCGGCACCGGCACTTCAACCACAGGGTCGCCCTATGCCACCTCAACCCCCAACACCTCCCGCACCATCTACCCCGAATCAGGCACATCATCCCGCGCAATGGTATCCTCAACCAACAGGGCAATATCATGGTCCTCCGCAGCCTCCTCACGTTCCAATGCAAGCAAATCAGGCACAGAGATTTGCGCAGCAACCCCAGCCGGTGCTGGTAGCTCCTCAGCCCCAAGGCCACATTCAGCCCCAAGGGCAGGCCCAATCCCAGTCCCAGGCTCAGGCTCCGGCTCAAACGCAGGCTCAGGCTCAGACTCAGTCTCATGTTCACATTCAACCCCAGACTCAGACCCCAGTCAAAAATCAGACTCAACTTCAGCCTCAAAAGCATCATCAACCCCCAACGCCTCAGCCTCAGCCTCAGCCAAAGGGACAGCTGGTGGCTCCAACCCACTCAACGCCGGTCAAGGAGTCCTCAGAGGGCTCTGGGAACTTACCGCGCCGAGGCCGTCCACCAGGTCCGTCAGTTACGCCTTCTGTGCGGCCACACACCGTTCAGCAGCCACGGCCTATTGCTGCTGCATCGCCTACCCCATCCGCTGGTCCTTCAGGACAGTCAGTAGTTCCTCCGAGATGGCAGCAAACACACCCCTCCCCCTATGCACAGCAACAATTCAGCCCTACGCCAGCCCCTGCGCAATCCCAGCCAAGTGTTAAGCCAACTGATGCTCAAAGGCGCGTCAGCCCTCCATTCAACAAGCAACAGCCACGACCTGCCATTCCTCCTCACCTGGCTCCACAAGTTGCAGCAGCTGCACCTCCAGCACAACGAGCCGCGAATACCCCTATTCCACCTCCACAAACGCCTGTTACGGCGCCCCCCAACTTCCTTCTTACTGGCTCCGGAACTAAGTGGACCGTGACTTCTACACCTTCGACCCCTCGGCCGGATGCATCTGACAAGGAGGTTGCTAGTCCGGCCTTTGAACCATTGAGCCCTGTGCAGCAAGTTGCGCCGTTGCCCCCTGCGCCTACTCCTACGCAAGCACCGCGGAGACCCAGCCCCAAGCCGACACCGGTACCCATTCCAGTGCCGAAGTCAGAGACGAAGACTCCCGGCCCAAGAGGCCGAGGCCGGCCACCACGCAGCGCGCACAAGGTCCGTGCCGACAGCACACCTTCAGTTGCGGGTACGCGACGAAGTCAGTCAGTCACGTCACAAACTGATGAGTTATCAATGGATCACCATGAGCTGGCGCCCAGAATTAAGGACGAGAACGCCACTCCTAGAGTGACTCCCAGAGCGACACCGAAACCGCAAGATGACACGGGCGATACAACTGCTGACGAAAGCGTGCCGAGTCGACGCAATATGATCACACCTAGTAGCGTGTCGTCACGGCTTACTCATAAGCGCAAACGTCAAGACACTCCAACCGAGCCATTGGTACCGCCCACAGCCCCGACTCACGTGCTATGGACACGACAGTTCGGTCGTGTAAGCGCTGCCGCGCTAGATCAGATCGGGGCTCACAGGTTTGCGAACCAATTCGCAAATCCTATCCGAGAGCGAGACGCCCCTGGTTACAAAACCCTGATCATTCAACCACAGGATATCAAGTCCATCCGTGCAGCCATAACACATGGCAACAGAGCAGCTACTGAGGCCGCCAAGGCTTTGCCAGACGGTGATCCAGGCACAGGCTCTGTCCTTTTGCCAATCAGTGACGATTTGGTGCCGCCCAAGAGCATCATCAACAGCGCCCAACTCGAACGAGAGCTTGTGCACATGTTCTCAAATGCCATCATGTACAACCTGAACCCGAGTCGCGGGCCTGGTCCAGCATTCATGAAGGGCGGCAGTGCTGCCGATGGGGCTGACGTAGTGGGATACGAGGTTGACGAAGACGCTGTGGTTCGTTCTACGAGGATGATGTCTATGGAGGTCGAGAAGATCATAGGAGAGCTCCGTAATGCAGAGAAGGAACGCACGGGTCAAGCCCCCTCGAACTCTGGCAATACAAGGCCGGCGAGCGTCGCTACTGGTGAAGATACACCAATGGCTGAAGATGACGTGGATGAGTTGGCGGGCGACGCGGACATAACCTCGTCAACAAGGAGACGACGCGTGGGTACGAGGAACTAGAAGCTGCCGCGCATCGCACGCAAGCTTCGTTGATTGGAGTGGTTATGTTTTGGCGTGCGAGGTTTTATGTCGGGGGCCCAGGAATATGGCCCCCTTTAGAGAAGAAGTGTGTAGGATACTCTGAGTAGTCCTGAGCGTCTACTTTCGTATGATAATGTTACCAATCGGCCCAAGTGCGGCTCAGTCAGTTAAACCAAGATTCCACAATGCTTGACAATCTGTGACGCGACATGACAGAACGAGATGATCAGACGTTGACGGCGTCGTGTACTGCAGCTCTTCTGAAACTGATATGTTTGGATTCCGCGTAGCAAAATCAATGACCTTATCATCTTCTCTCGTTCCCCTGTCTATCATGTCTCTTCCAAGAAGGCCCGTCCGTTGGTTGTCTTCATGATGGGAAGGGCAGCATTGCAAAAGTGGTACGTTGTGGTGTTGAGTGGCTGTACAGATCGCTATACATCAAGACTTCCAGAAAAACCAAGAACAAAAGAGATCCCCCCCCGGTAGCGAATAGGGGCTACATCTCTGGGTGCACATGCTGGGACTCGAACACGGGACCTCTTAGCCTTCACTGATTAGGCTTCTTGCATGGACTCGAACCACTCCATGCCTCAGCCAGTTTTGACCTGACCCCCCCGAGGGGAGCGCGGGCTGGCTGGTTAACGAGAATGGAGTTGAGGGGGCCTATACGGGCTTCGGCTTGTGGTGTATTCGGGTGTATATTGAGGTGGTGGCCGGAGGAATCGAGGCGGGCAAGGACGGTACCTTCCCTCCCCCGATGCCTTCCCAATTCTTTTACTTTACCCACTTACCTTACTCGTCGTCCTCGAACGAAGAAGATGTAGACGTGACAATTGTGAAAACCTCTCTTGATCGGAACCCGTCTCATGCTAGTCTTCTTATAATTTGATTTATTTGTATTCAGAGCTACGAGGTCAAGTCATACGTCAAGCTCGTCAGAAATGCGAGACGGATTGGGGGGTCAAGAAAAGAGTAACGCAGATTAATTGGATTCATGTGGCAGGCCCCTTTTTGTCCAGAATACCATCCAAACGTATTATGAATGAAGGTACAACCCGGGTTGTGAACCCTCAAACACGGAATTTTTGATTTTTAGAGGGACGTTTATTCAAGCTTAATACAAGAGTTTGACGACCGCCTTCTTGAAAGTTGAAAGCAAACATGTTCTTAGCCCTCCCCTGAAAGCTTCCACCAACTTCTCGATCATCTACAAGCCCAGAGCAGGAGACTAAGTACAGTGACGCCGCTCTAGAACAAAACGACTAGTCGAGTCCCGAAAGAAAACCCCTTCATCTCAACAACTAAACCTCTCAAAAATCTACCAAGGAACAGAAGTCCCATTATACAAAAAGAACCTCCCACTATCAGCAACCTTGAGCCCAGCCAACAGCGACAATATCCCCCGCGCGCTATCCTCCACCTCAACCGTCGCCCCAGGCCCCCCAGAAGCAGTCTTGACGTGTCCCGGATCGACTGCCACCACAACAACACCCTCGCTCCGCAACTCCCGGGCCTGGTGCACCGTCAGCATATTCAGCGCCGCCTTGCTGATGGAGTAGCCCGCCAGCATCCCGACGCGACCGTCGCTGGTCCATCCCAGGCTTCCCGCGCCGGAGGTGATGTTTGCGACGACCGCGGCGATCCGCTCTCCGCCCTCGCCCTCGCTCTTACCCTCGTCACCCCGCTTAGCAGTCAGAAACGGCATCATAACCTGTACCATCCTCGCCGGTCCAAGGACGTTGGTCTCCATGTGCACATCTAACCCCTCTTTATCAAGCGTCAAACTCGTCTGGTGCGCAAATTGCAGCGTTGCGGCGTTGTTGATGAGGAAGTCCACTTTGGCCGGCGTCGTTTCACGGCCCTTGTCGAGGACGGCTGACAGCCGGCCGGGGAGCGCGGCGATGGATGCCTCGGAGGAGACGTCGCATTCGAGGATATGCGTTGTGGCGACGCTGGAGGATCGGATGGCTTCGAGAGCTGAGAGGTAGAGGGAAGAGGAAGGGGAGGTGGAGCGGGCGAGGGCGATGACTGTGTTAGAGGAGGATTTGCTTAGTTGGTTGATGTATTCGAGACCGATGCCGGCTCTTGCGCCGGTGACTACGTATGTCGGCATGGCTTTTACGGAGGGCAAGGATGAAAAGTGAGTAGGTCTGTTTTGATGTGTGGATAGGCAGTGAGCATTTGCTTTATCTCAAGGAGAGCGTAATCTACACGATATTCGTCTCTTTGGTCATCTCACGGTTTCAGCACCTTGGAATCCCTACAGATGAAGAATCAACAGCCCATTTGTAGAGCAAAATTGGGCGACGAGGATATTATTTTCCTCTAACAAGCGTCAACATGGATTGGTAATACGGAATTCTCAGTAAGCTCCGGGGGGATCACGTTTGAATTGCCTAAATGCACCTGCATAAAGGATCAGTCGTCAGCGCGTATATGATCCAAGCTTACAAAAGATGTTTAACGTTGGCTGATTAAAAGAGGCATTGGAGCGCATGCCCTTGAGAGACAGTCATCTAGGTACCTAGTAGGCAATGTAAGGTATATGCCAGGTAAGGTAAGTACTGAGGTAGTGACTGGGACATCCGATAGGGGTCCGGCAACGAGCCCGGTAATTGTGGAGACCCGTCCGGCGATGGTACCGGATGTCACCGTCGAGGCCGGAGTGGATGTAATTCTACCCGTGCCAGGGGGGCATCATGCATGGTCAATCGCAATGGAAGGAAACGGGATGGCCCGGCATTGCAACTCGCGCGAATCTCCGCGCGCATCGAAAGATCATAGCATCCGTATAGTAGGACCTTACGGTCCACGGGGTACAGAGGCGAAAACGAGAAGTCACAGAGTCATTTGAATAGCTGCGCCAGCGCCAAGACCGAGCCAGGGGCGATTTCCAAAGTTGATACGGATACGTACTTCGTAGTGCGAAGACATCACAGCTAGAATCCGAGGGAAAGAAAGCAAGCGAGCGAAGCGAAGAGGGCCGTGAGGCGTGAGGGCGAATCTTTGTTCTGCGGCGTCTTGGTATTCGAGGCAGTGTTTTTGCCGTTGGTATTCTTTTTTTCTGATGGGCGTTGGTTCTGGTTTCGCGTCGCTTGGCGCGTCGATTGGGCGTATTTTGTACACCTATCACGGTTTATCACCTTGCATGCCTTTGGCGGCCGATCAGCGTTTTGTCAGGTATTAGAGAAATAGATGCTGCCAGCTGTACCAACAAAGTGGCGGTCGGTCCATTACCTACCTTAGGCTTGGCTGTCAAAGTTAGGTTAACTTAGCTGCTTAGTTCACCTCGTTCTTACTACCGAGCAAGGTCGTGAGGTTAGGACCAGACCGCCATGGAAAACCCTAATGATCCAGCCACAACGAACTTAAACACTCAAATATCTTGGTTAGACGCATGAAACTTGTCCGTCAGAAGGAACTATCGACGGGATGGGAAAAACAAGTCAAAAAAAAAAGTTGCGATGTTTTACACTAGGAGCTTGGAAACTGATGAAAAAAGACTGGCTGGAACATGCCGTTTCGGCGCAGGTTTCCGAATGGAAGCTTCTGTCCCGCCTTCAGGTTCCTCATCTGACGTCAGAAGGAAAGGAGCGCAACCCCTGGGATGGGAAAAGGTGTTTTAGGAGCTTCCCTCGTGGAAGAAACTACATTACGGAGTACACTAGAAAGGAGTTACTGCTACTTGTTTAAAGTTTTCTTCTTCGTTTCCCGGGTGTGGGTGACACCGTGACACGGGTGACCACTGACGGGGAGGGTCGACTATCAAAACAAAACCAAATTAGGCCGTCTCTTGGCATTTTCTACTGCAACACAGCTGCGCCTCCTCTTCCAGCTGTTGCACGTGTAAGTGGTGAGGTTTATTGTTCATGTGGGTGTGCCAACTCTAAGAGGCACTCGCTGGAATCTCTGTTCCATCAGACAACCGTGACACGGTGACACCCACAAGAATCTAGGCACATGGCTGGTTCACTTGGGGAAGCCCTGTATTTTCTTCTCCTTCTGTGGCAGGAGACGTGAGTGAGAGAGAGAGAGAGTGTGTGTGTGTTCCCGTGTGATTTGAGATGATGTCAGTTTAATTTCTTGGCAGTCTCCCCATCCCCCGCCCCCCTGCTATGTATCTGTTTCTTGAGTACTGTGTAGGCCTGTGTTCACTGAAAGAATTGTGGGAGACAAATCGGAAGAGGTGGAAAACGACGGAGTGTGAGACGACCAAGAGAGGCAGTGCAGTCCTCGGCCCTCAGTTGAGAGTCCTTCTCCTCGGCCTCCTCTCGAATCCTCGATGAGCCAAGTCTTCTTTGGCTCATCCGAGCCCATCATCAGCCCAAGGGTGGGCGCATCCCGAGGACGGTATTTATCTGTCTGTATCTTACCACAGGTGACAGCACACTCGCGATAGGTACCTGACGGAGGATGGGCACTCTGCAAAGTCCTCTGCCTGCCGGGCTGTTTTGTACGGAGTAGTTTCTGATCGCAGGGTTGTCACCGGCTCCGGATATGCAGAAGGACTGGAATGTTCCGGGTGTGGGTGCCACAATGACAGTCCCTCGACACAGGATGGCTGCCATGGTTGCCCCAATGATGATGAGATGCATCCATTATCCAATAACCATCACGGTTGAGAGTTGAGTTCAGGGCAGATCAGGCCAGCCCCAGCGGCTGCATGGCCAAAGGCCAAAAAAACTGCCTCTTCGTCTACCCGATCTGACCTTTGCGAGCACGGCCACACAAAAACGTGGAGAAGCTATGACCAAAGTTGGGATGGGAAGATGTCACCCCAAAGTTGTTCTTTTTTGCCTCAAAGGCCCAAACAGTTGACAGAACCTACGTGGTAGACGTATTTTTTTTGTCGCTTCGCCATGTTGCTCGGGAGAGCGCTGGTTCAAAGATGGGCCACTGTTAGGTTCCTGCCAAGAGGGCCGGACTGTGGCTCATCTCTCTTTTTGTGGTCGGCGGCCTCCTTTTCTTTCCTCGGTTGTTATAGAGAACTTGAGAACGGAGGAAGCTTGGGAAGCAAAAAATGTCTCGGCGGCATCACATCTTTGCTGGATTCATTCGTTCTTCAGGCGACATAGGGATCAGTCCACCGTCACTGGGGGCTCAGATTGACCAAAGCTCTCCACCCGGTGAAGCGAACACCGGGCCCGTGGTACCTGGGGGGGGGGGAGGGTGACTGGCGGTAACTGGCCGTGACTGGCGGCAACTGTTCCGGTTGTTCTTCACCTCGGTCAACGGACATGTACCGGGACCCGAGTTTATGAGTGAAACTTGAGAGTGAGAGTGAGAATGAGAGTGAGCTGTGAGAAGTAAGTGAGAAGTAAGTGAGAAGAAGGTCAAATATTACATGTGCTGCAGATACTGTCACATTACCCGAGTGAGGTAAGGTTATAGCCCATAATCGATAGTCAAGAGGAGGGCCACTAAAGAGGGAGAGCGAGGTCCTCGTATCTAACCTGATTGAATGCTTTTATTTTGATAAATTGAATGTAATTCCACCGTCCACCGCAATTCAAGACATGGCTTGGCGCACCCCCTGTACTCCGTACCGCTTAAACAGCACTCTCGATATCAAATGAGGTGCTCCCCGTCTTGGCGATAAAATAACCCGTATGCTTTACCCTGACAGACGTGGTCTATTCTCTCCTCTCAGAGTCTCAATGAGCGAACAGTGAGCAGCAAAAGAACAAAGTGGTGCAGCGCGAATTAATGTACTTCGTAGATGACCACTCGTCTCTGCACGTTTACGTACCGGGCGTGAGCGACGTCTTGGCATCTTGGGATTTCCTTGGCTTTGGTCGAATCACCGACAATGGTGGCTGTGTAATTCTCCTATCCTGATGAATGCTCTCCAGCCCAGAGTATCTCACTCGTTGGCTAGGCGGCCTAGAACCTGCCAAGCCCAGCTGGTGAGGCACCGACGATTTCCAGACTCCAGCGGCGTGTTGTTTCTTCTCTCCCCCCCATGTTTCTCGTCCCGAGCGTGCAACCCTGTGCCATCATCATTTGTATCGACGTGGATTGAAGCTGGCGGATTTTGCGGGCGCTTGGCCCGATGTTGATTGCTACTTGTCAGTCCACAACCGAAAGACCGTCCATCACCATCAACACGCAGACGCTTCTTCTCCACGTCACTAATTCTCTCTCTCTCTCTCCCCCTCTCTCTCTACCCCTTCCTCACCCTCGGCATCGTGACTTCTGATGACCTGGGTCTTTTCTGCCCAAATCTGCCCTGCCACAGCCCGCATCTCTATCCGTTTCCCATCTCCTCTTTTCATCCAACTTTAATCCTCTACTATCCGGATACCTTGTCGAAAGACACGTACCGAATCGACACCTCATCGGTCCAAAAGAGAAAAGTTCACGCTTCACAGCCCTCTTCAATGACGCCTTGGATGTCATGACCCCATCAAACCTAGCGGGCCGCCTTCTCCAGATCACCCTCGCCTGAGGTTCCACGTCCAGACATATCAACTGGCATCGACGTCCCATCCCGCAACCCGTATCGCTGGCACCAATAATCCTCACCGGGAGGTAAACGACAAACCGCCACCAACACCAGCAGCGAACAAGCTCCAGCTCAACAAGCTCCCTCACCTCGATCCATTGTTTTCTCTCTCCCTGCCTCCCTTTCGACACTAATCCACACCGCCTCCCAACCCAAACCGAATCATCAACTCTTCAGCCCGCAAAGGTGCTACGTTCAATTGCCACTCGTTGATCAGCTGGCTCCCTCTTCTTGGAGTCCATTTACATACTCCGTGTGTGTAACATCACAACCCTTCTTTGTTTGCACCACAACCCGCGCATCCAAAGTTGTTTATGCAGCTACACATTCACCAACGCCCGCCGCCAAAGAGCAGCTTCCAATCACCACTGCTCCTTCCTCCCCAAAACGAGGCGGACCGACTGTCACTGTCTTAAAAGTTTCTACATTGCCCTCCAAGCTCCTACCGCTCTCCAGGGACACTACTCTGGGACCGGCGGGGTAGAAACACCAACCAAAACACACAAATAATTAGACCAAGGCATCGCCATGCCGCGGACTCCTTCTCCGCTAAGGCGGCCACGGGCGCCTACTATCACGCTGGATACTTCAGCTGTCAACGACCAAGGTATGACGCCATATTGCATTCCTCCTCCCTGGACCGGTCATGAAATAATCCTTCTCCCACCGCCTCCAGCCGGGCCAAACTAACCACGGGCGCGTTCGACTTACAGAAGACGACCAACACCAAGTCACATCGTCACCGTCTTCCTCAGATCACGGCGACGAAATCAATAATACGTTATCAGTGCCCACGAGAAAGTCACGATCCCAGTCTTGGGACTCGAATAACACGACCTTAGCAAAGTCAAAAACAATTGAAGGCACTGACAAGGGTTCCCCGACTGCACAGCTCTCGGGCTCTCCCAAAGGCTACGGCGCAAACCCGGACGATGCCTTGGCGCCGAATCCGGGCGAGGAGGCGTCTTTTCACGTCGATAACAACCCGTTTGCCTATACACCTGGACAGGTTTCGAAGCTCATTAACCCAAAGAGTCTAGATGCATTCGTTGCCGTTGGAGGTCTTGTAGGCTTGGAAAAGGGTTTACGAACAGACAGGCGCGCCGGTCTGAGTCTCGACGAATCGAGGCTTGACGGCAGCATCAGCTTCGAGGAAGCCGTCGCCGCAGGGAAGAAGCTCCCGTCGTCCTCGGACGCCGTGCCAACGGACGCGCTTCAACAGGATGCTGCCCACCACGGCGAAGGTGCCGGCAAAGGCTTCGACGACCGGAAGCGAGTGTTCGGGCAAAACATCCTGCCAGAGAGGAAATCGCTGTCACTGTTGCAACTCGCTTGGATTGCGATGAAGGACAAAGTCTTGATCCTGTTGAGTGTGGCCGCTGTCATCTCCCTGGCATTGGGATTGTATCAAACTTTTGGAGCAACTCATCACGGAGACGACACTGCCAAGCTTGAGTGGGTCGAAGGTGTTGCCATCATCGTCGCTATCACGATTGTCGTCGTCGTCGGCTCGCTCAACGATTGGCAAAAGGAGAGGCAGTTCCGGAAGCTCAACCAGAAGAAGGAGGACCGTATTGTCAAGGTTATTCGATCCGGAAAGCCCGCGAACCTCTCGGTTCACGACATTCTTGTTGGAGATGTCATGCTTCTGGAGCAGGGAGATATCATTCCGGTGGACGGTGTTTTCATCGATGGTCACAACGTCAGCTGCGATGAATCCTCTGCAACTGGAGAGTCGGATCTCATCAAAAAGGTACCCGCAGACGCCGTCATGAAGGCGCTGCACGAGGAGGAGGTGAATCCCAAGAAGCTTGACCCTTTCATCATTTCTGGAGCCAGAGTCCTGGATGGCGTTGGAACATTTTTGGTCACTGCTGTCGGCCAGAACTCGAGCCACGGCAAGACCATGATGTCCCTCCGCGACGATCCTGGAATGACTCCTCTCCAGCTCAAGCTGAACATTCTTGCGGGTAAGTTTACTTTACGACCTGGCTGGGCATGTTGCTTACACTATTTCCAGGTTACATTGCGAAGCTCGGCAGCGGTGCCGGTCTTCTTCTTCTTGGTGTCTTGACGATCGAATTCCTGGCTCACCTTCCTAATAATAGCGACTCCCCCGAGGAGAAGGGCCAACGTTTCCTGCAAATTCTCATCACATCCATCACCATCATCGTCGTTGCAGTGCCCGAGGGTCTCCCCCTAGCCGTCACTCTCGCCCTCGCCTACGCCACAAAGCGGATGACCAAGGAGAACAACCTCGTCCGTCACCTGCAGTCCTGCGAGACCATGGGTAACGCGACCGTCATTTGCTCTGACAAGACTGGTACCCTGACGGAGAATGTTATGACCGTCGTTGCTGGCACATTGGGTACGGGCAAGTTCCGCTTCGTTGCCTCAGATGATCAATCCACCGAGAACGGCCAGGAAGATGAGGAATCGGACCTGCATGTTACTGGAGATGACAAGAAGTCCCAAACCACCTCCACCGAAGTCCCCATGTCTAAGCTTTCATCGGCAATCGACGCAGATTTCAGGGATCTGGTTAAGCAGTCCGTTGCGATGAACACGACTGCCTTCGAGACTGAGGAGAACGGAAAGCAGGTATTTGTAGGCACGAAAACCGAAACCGCCTTGCTCGACTGGGCTCGCCGATGCTTTGCCCTTCAACAAATCGCCATCGAGCGCGAAAACTGCCCTGTTCAGCAACTATTCCCATTCAACTCGAAGCGAAAGGCCATGGGTGCCGTTGTGCGCCTTCCAAACAACAAGTACCGTTTCTTCGTTAAGGGCGCCCCTGAGATCCTTTTGGGACAATGCACCAGTGCCGTCTCCGACCCCACGAAGTCTCCTACGACTGCCTCCATGGCATCGGATCAGCAGGAGCACATTCGCCAAATCATCACCGACTACGCCCGCCGCTCCCTCCGCACGATTGCCCTCGGCTATCGCGATTTCGAGCAGTGGCCCCCGGAAAACGCCCGCAAGGAGGAAGGCTCCCAGAACGTTGAGTTCTCCAGCATCTTCAAGAATTTGACGTGGCTTGGTGTTGTGGGTATCCAAGATCCTGTCCGAGCCGGCGTTCCGAAGGCCGTGGAGGACTGCCGCACAGCCTCTGTCTCCGTGAAGATGGTTACCGGTGACAATGTCGAGACGGCGAGAGCCATTGCGAAGGATTGCGGTATTCTTACGGAGAAGGACAAGGTCATGGAGGGAATCGAGTTCCGTCGCATGGATGAACGCGAGCGCGTCAGCATTGTTCGGGAACTTTGTGTTTTGGCACGATCCAGCCCCGAGGACAAGAGAATCCTGGTCAAGGCTTTGAGAGGTTTGGGCGAGGTTGTTGCCGTCACTGGCGACGGCACGAACGATGCGCCTGCCCTGAAGTCTGCTGATGTTGGTTTCTCCATGGGCATCACGGGAACCGAAGTCGCCAAGGAAGCCTCCGATATCATTTTGATGGACGATAACTTTTCGTCAATCGTCAAAGCCATGGCTTGGGGCCGCGCCATTAACGACGCCGTCAAGAAATTCTTGCAGTTCCAGATCACAGTTAACATCACTGCCGTCGTCCTCACCTTTGTCACCGCTGTAGGCAGCGAGACACAAGAGCCCGTCTTGAACGCTGTTCAGCTTCTCTGGGTCAACCTCATCATGGACACCTTCGCCGCCCTCGCCTTAGCTACCGATCCTCCCACCGAGAGCATGTTACACCGCAAGCCCGAGGCCAAGACCGCCGCGTTGATCAACACGCCCATGTGGAAGATGATTATCGGCCAGTCCATCTACCAACTCATCGTCACCCTGATCCTCCACTTTGTCGGCCCTAACTTCCTCAACTACCCCTCTGGCCAGCAAAAGACACTCGTCTTCAACGTCTTCGTCTTTATGCAAATCTTCAAGCTCATCAACAGCAGACGTATCGACAACAACCTCAACATCTTTGAAGGCATCACCAAGAACAAACTCTTCGCACTCATGATGGCCATCATGGCCGGCGGTCAGGTCCTCATCGTCTTCGTCGGCGGCGCCGCCTTCAAGGTAGAGAAGCTTAACGGACCGCAGTGGGGCATCTCCATCGTCCTCGGCATTATCTCGATCCCCATGGGCGTCCTCATCCGGCTCTTCCCCGACTCGTGGTTCGTCGCCCTCGTCAGCCCCTTTGCTTGGGTGTGGTCCAAGATCCCCAAGTGGAAGCGCAAGAAGAAGACGGATGAGGAGGATAGCGAGCACCTGGGCGCCGGTGGCGTCAAGGATGCCCTACTCGAGATCAGAGACGACCTCGCCTTCCTCAAGCGCATCAAGGGAGGAAGGATCAGCCAGATTAGCGAGGTGATCATGAAGCCCCGCGAGTACCGCGAGAGAACACGCAGCCGGAGCGGGTCCAGATCATCGAGCAGACATAACGCGTCGCCGATGAAGGCCGCTCTTGGCATGCCTGGTATCGTGGCGGCTAGTGTTGGAGGCTTGTCGCCCGTTGAGCGGCCGGTGTCTCACGACAGCCGGAATACGGATGGAGAGCGTGAGCCAGAGAGTCGTAAAGACTGAATTAATTGACTGGCCCGCGGGGTAGGCCTCCATCACCAGGGCCTGCCACGGTGAGCCTTTAGATATGCATTGGGTGCCTTTCTATGTGAGGGATATCCAACCCTGTTTGTCTATCTGAGCGTGTGTGGCCTTTTTCTTCTTTTTACCCTTCAATGTTACGAATGACCCGAACCGATCGAGACCGACCTGTACTCTTGCCTTTATTTTCTTTGGACCAATCGAGAGACACGACATAACCACCTCCTGTACGATACATCCCCTCAAACAAAACCAAAAGATATACACACGCCTGATAGACCCGACGATCGTGTACGTTGCGAGACCGAGAGAGAAGGAGAAATAGTTAATCCAATGATACCAAATTCTACATGACGCAATGACTTCAGACAAGCCCGCAAGTGATTGAATGTCTCTATAGCGTTGAAGGACGTCCCATGTGTATTGTTCCAAGCTAGATCTGCCTGCCCCTCGTGAAAAGACATCTCGTCAAATTGTACCTGATAATATATGGGTAGGTTTAGCTGCATATACCTTAGCGCAAGAGCAGCTGATCAATTTACACAAGCAACGAGTCACTTGAAGAAAAAAAAGACGTCATAACCTTCACCAAAATAGTAAAAGAGTTCACCCCCCCGGTGCTGAACTGGGGGCTACATCTCTTGGTGCTCATACTGGGATTCGAACTCAGTCGCTTAGCCTGTCGTCGAGTAGGCTGGTTGGTGTGATATTTGCTGGCCATTAACCAATTCCACCACCCACGCCACAGTTTGACCTGACCCCCGACCTAGAGGGCGCCTGCTGTGCTGGTGACAGAATTGGACGTGGAGGGGTATATGAGGGCTTGTTGTGTATTCAGGTGTAGGCGGGACGGGATGGGAAGGTATGGCCAGGTCGTGCCTGCTTGAGGTGCCCTCCGGGTGCGGTTGTTGGTGGCAACGGGTGGTGAGCTTTTGGGCTGAAGGATGATGAATCACACTTCGATGGTAAGGGTATGTATCGATCTACCATGCCCTGCCTTGTCTTAGGAAAGGGAATTAGTAAGACTGATTATTGCGTGCCACCAATAGTGCTGCTACCAAATGTCAGGTCTGGCTACTATTCACCCGCGTGGCACAAATAAAACCCGTCCACTGATCCCTCCCCCCTCGCCTATAATATCAACATGAAGAATTGTAGCAGGTATCAGAATAGCGCCTCTCGCAACTTAGACCGTGAGGATTCATAGCAGCAATACACACGTCACATTGTTCAGATCTATATCTACAAAGGGCACAGCTTCTCCGTGAACAACCCCTCCCCCCTCCCTCTACGTCTTTTCTAGGTTACAGCTTGGAAAAATGATCCTCATATCTCCCTCTGCCACAAACATACTGCTCGTAAAAACTTGCCGTGCCTTGTAGCGTTGATTGGGTCCATGGCCAGTCTTGGAGGTAGCTTCAAATGTGAACTCGAGCAAGCCGCCGGAGAAGAATAAGAAGAATTTGCATAGTGAGGCGCTTATGCGGCTTCAGTCATACAGCTTTCTAACAGATAAGCTTCATCAGGTTTCACTAGCAAGTACGATCAAACCATCATATTCCCTCAGTTCAAGGGTCAAACTCTGGCCAACTTTCAACCTCAGCAACAAGATCCGCAAAATCCTCATCCCCCGCCTCAGCCCTCTCCTTGAACGCCGCATAATTCTCCTGAGCCCACGCAAGCTCGTCCCCAGCCAAGGGCACCGGAAAGCCAGCTTTCAACCCAGCAATGAGCTCCCCGGTAATGAAGACTGCCCTCAACTCGAGGGCCTGAGGCGGTAGCTGGCCTTCTTCGGCTGCCGTCTCTGGGTGCACGATCCGCGCCCACGCGGCTCGGATCTCGTGGCATAAAGAGTTGAAGTCCTCCTGCGTACGGGAGGAGCCTCGTCGGACGCGGCCGACGATGCGATTTGACTTGCGCTGGGGTTAGGGGTTGTGGATTTAGTAGATGGTTGTCTCTGTATTTTTATACGGGGGAACGAGGCTTACTTGTTTCCCTCCGACGTAGGTTGGGATGTTTGAGGAGTCTGTAAAGATTACGTTGATGAACATTCTAGGGACGGTGAATTTGGTGCTGTGTATCGCCGTAATTGACTCGGCGAGGTCGTCCCTCTGGCTTTGGCTCAGATGGGTGGCGTGGGATATCTCATAGAGGGGCATTGTGTACAGACGCTGTCGAGGCTTACTCACAACAGACGTGTAGGGTCCAAGTAGAGTCTGAGGTGTTGTGTTAAGAGACAGATTTCATGAAGAGAATACTCGGAGGAAAATGTAACGGTGGTCTTTGACTTGTTTCGTTCGACACTAAGGAATATCATGTGTAATCATACAACGGGAATTACACCGTGGCCCGGCAGCTGACAATAACCCCGCAGGAAACCTGTCCTAAGTTACACTCGAACTTGGGGGAAAGTAATCGCAAAATCCCAGGAATTGTGGAGATGCAGAATGCGTCCGTCACAGATGTGATTTTAGCATCTTGAAGATGTGGACTAAATAGCCTTCGTCCCTGTCGACAGTGAGCATTATAGAGCGTGGTACTCCTCTCGTCCATACCTGCGAGACTGCTATAGATAGGCATCATGATGTTTTATGGCCACCTCTTCAAAGTTGCATCAAAATGACTCCAAGCAATTTCGTTTGACGCGAAGGACGGAAAGAGAAGGGAGGCTGGTATTTCACTTCAGCCCACCACTGAGCAAAATGCTCTGGCCAGTCAAATACCCAGTCTTACACAACATCAAAACAACATTAGCACACTCCTGCGGCGTTCCTAGCCTTCCGACAGGGATATTCTTAACATCACCAGGCGTGCCCTCCACACGCTTCTCGTCGGGAATCATGCCCGTATCACCAATCATGGCTGGCGCGACGTCGTTGAGCGTGACGCCGTCCTTGGCATGCTTGGACGCGAGGTTCTTCATCAGACCTGTCATGCCGGCCTTGCTCGCGGCGTAGTGGCAGCCGTTGATGCCGCCGCCAATGGCTGAGATGGAAGACACGAAGACGATGCGGCCCCAGCCCTGGGAGATCATGTGCGGCATGGCGAGCTTACATAGCAGGAAAGAGGCGCGGAGGTTGATGTTGATGGTGAAGTCGAACTCTTCGAGAGAGATGTTCTCCAGGTAAGGGTTGGCTTTGTTGTTGAAGCCTGCCGTGCCGGCGTTGGCAATAATTATATCGGGCGCGTGTCCGTATCTGATGTCCAAATCCTCAAATAATTCTTCGATTGCCTTGGTGGAAGCCATGTCTACTACGTGACATGAAACCCTGGTCTCCTCATCCGTTGATCTCATCAGTTCATCAGCGAGGTCTTTGATTTTGACAGAGGTTTCTTTGGATGAACATGTCAGGACTAAACGTGCTCCATTGGCGAAGAGCTCCCGGGCGCAGGCTGCCCCGATTCTGTGGTTGTTAGGCTCACACTCGCTGGATGAGGTTGTTGCCTCAACTCACCCACCAGAGGCACCTGTCACCAGGGCTAGTCTGCCTTTGATTTCGTTGTCCACTGAAACCATGATGATTATTTAATTCGGAGTTTCCTGCAGGATATCTTCATAGCAAGATTCCACTATGATGTGCCGATGCCAGTCCTTGTACCTTGTCGGTTGGTGAGGTTGCAGCTGGGAGGTCACCTATGCAAGGGAAGCTGGATTGTACCCCGCCATACGTTGCCCCACTGTAGCTCTATTACCCCGCGATCTCCAATGATGTGAACGGCAATGGGAACTCAAATAGAGATTATGTTTCCGACTTCGGATGATGTTGAGCAAGGTAAGCAGCTAAAATTGCAGCCGCAAAGAGAAGTTGGCAAGGTCTTTGGTGTGAGAATTGGAATTCAGATCCGTACTGATAAACTCAAGGTTAAGACCCAGCATTCTAGTCGTCCAGGTCCTTTCAGAACTGGCGTAATATGGCTGATGAACATGAAGCAGACAGATCGTCTTACCTCTCGCACTCAACCTACATACTTGATTGAGCCTTGTTGCTGAAAATGTCTGCCTCACCTCCTGTGCAAGTGCCTCATCCTACCCTTACAAGACAGATCTGATGCAACACTGTCCCTTTTGGCAATGGGAGAGGACAACGCAAGCTGCCTACCTTAGGGACACTTGTCCATAAACAGGTTTCTGCTGACATATTGAATCTGCGGCGACTGACCGCTCCCGTGATGGTGCCATATTCCACGTAACCTTTAGGTAATTCTCGGTCGGTAAAGGTATCCATGAGTTGCTTGCTCAAACAAGAACTTGAAGATGGGAAGCTGGGCGTTGGCCCCTTTAATGTGGCTTGAATGCACCTGGTGGATTCAGCGTCCCACTCTTCTCGGGACAACTGCCACAAATCCCAGTGCTTATTCTTATCGCACCAATGGGGACCTTATCGTATGGTCAGCCTTGCATTTAGTGGGAAAGGCGCCACAACTTTTTTTTTCTTACAGCTGTCCTCTTCGCCAGGACAGGTAATCCACTACAAGGTCCCCTGCCCGAGACGACCTGGACCCAGTCTGGGGGGGAAGGAGAATGGCACCGAACCCAATAGAGGACACCTTCACGAATCTCCATTCAACGACGCTCCGTTGTCCATATTTGTGTTCCTGGGTCGCCATTGTCTCGAGGAACTCCCCTTCTTTTTTTGACTTCTCCTCTTTTTGTCTTTGGGGTTTCCTCACTTTCTAGATTCACGACACTCTTGCTTCTCAAGTCTTACACTGGGACTTGTCTACCAATCCGTGTTAGTTCCGACCTCTGTCACTCCCATACGAACCTGCCTAGACGACCCTTCCACAGCGCCATTGGGCGCAAACCACACATGATGGCGCAACGAACATTCTCGCCATTGACGATAGTCTTTTGCTGCGTCTTCTTCTTTTCCGCACACGTCTTTGCCGTCTCCGCCGTCCTCGGTGTTGACCTCGGCACCGAGTACATCAAGGCTGCCCTCGTCAAGCCCGGCATTCCTCTCGACATTGTCCTGACCAAGGACTCGCGCCGCAAGGAAATCTCCGCCGTCACCTTCAAGCCCCTCCAGAGTGGCCCCAAGTCCGGATCCTACCCCGAGAGACTCTACGGCTCCGACGCCATTGCTCTCTCCGCCCGCTTCCCTCACGATGTCTACCCCAACCTGAAGACACTCCTCGGTCTCTCTGTCGACGACCCGATTGTCCAAGAATACGCTGCCCGACACCCCGCCCTGCAGCTCGAGAAGAACGAGGCGCGAGGAACCGCTGCTTTCAAGAGCAAGGTCTTCACCGAGGAGGAGGAAGCATGGCTGGTTGAGGAGCTCTTGGCCATGGAGCTGCAGAGCATCCAGAAGAACGCCGAGTCTGCTGCTGGGGCTGGTACCTCTGTCCGCTCCATGGTCTTGACGGTCCCTCCTTACTTTACAACCGAGGAGAAGCGCGCGATCCAGGCCGCCGCTGATCTCGCTGACCTCAAGGTTCTGAGCCTCATCAGCGATGGCCTTGCTGTCGGTCTTAACTACGCTACCTCCCGCCAGTTCCCCAACATTAACGAGGGAGGCAAGCCCGAGTACCACCTGGTCTTTGACATGGGTGCCGGCTCCTCCAAGGCTACTGTCATGAAGTTCCAGGGCCGTACGGTCAAGGACGTTGGCAAGTTCAACAAGACCATCCAGGAGGTTTCCGTTATCGGCACTGGCTGGGACAGGACACTGGGCGGTGACGCGCTCAACTACCTCATCGTTGACGACATGGTCGCCCAATTCGTCGAGTCCAAGGGCGGAAAGAAGATCTCTGCCGATGCCGCGAAGGTCAAGGCCCACGGCCGTGCCATCGCGAAGTTGACCAAGGAGGCGGAGCGTTTGCGCCACGTCCTCAGCGCCAATCAGCAGGCCAGCGCAAGCTTCGAGGGACTCTACGAGGATGTCGACTTCAAATACAAGCTTACCCGTCCTGACTTCGAGAAGATGGCCGAGACTCACGCCTCGCGCGTTGACGCCGTCCTTCTTGGCGCTCTGAAGACTGCTCAGCTTGAGCTCTCTGACCTAACCTCTGTCATTCTTCACGGCGGCGCTTCCCGAACCCCCTTTGTCCAGAAGCAGCTCGAGCAAATCACCGGCTCCGCCGAGAAGCTTCGCAGCAACGTCAACTCGGATGAGGCCGCTGTTTTCGGTGCCGGTTTCCGCGCTGCCGAGCTCAGCCCTAGCTTCCGTGTCAAGGAGATTCGCATTTCCGAGGGCACCAACTACGCCTCTGGCATGAAGTGGACCAACAACAAGAACAAGCTTCAGCACCAGCGTCTGTGGTCCGCCGTCTCCCCCCAGGGTGGTGTCCCCAAGGATGTTACCTTCACCAACCACGAGGACTTTGATGTCACTTTCTACCAGCAGATCGAGTCTGCCGAGAAGGATACCAAGGTTTTCTCTACCAAGAACCTCACCGCCTCCGTCGCCGAGCTGAAGGAGAAGTACTCCTGCGTTGACAGCGACATCCACTTCAAGGTTGGCGTCAAGCTGAGCAGCGAGAGTGGCGAGGTCGAGGTCACCAAGGCTACCGTTGAGTGTGAGGCCGAGACTCCCGAGAAGGAGGGCTTTGTCGATGGCGTCAAGAACCTGTTCGGCTTTGGCAACAAGAAAGGAGACCAAAAGCCTCTTGATGGAGAGGAAGACGACGAGTCTTCGACCAAGGAATCTGAGTCCTCCACCGCCTCTTCGACCAAGACTGAGTCTACTACCGCCTCGTCCTCGCCCGTTCCCAGTGACGCTGCGGCTGATGGCAAGGAGCCCGCCCCCAAGAAGAAGGAGCTTGTCACCATCAACGTCGACTTCACCCTTGAGAAGGCAGGTCTGCCTGAGCTTTCCCGCGATGAGCTCGTCAAGTCCAAGGACCGCCTCAAGGCCTTTGAGGGATCTGACAAGGCCCGCCGCCTGAGAGAGGAGGCCCTCAACCAGCTGGAAGGCTTCACCTACAAGGTTCGCGACCTCCTCGAGAGCGAGTCCTTCATCGCCGCCTCTACTACCGAGGAGCGTGCCACTTTGGAGAAGAAGAACAGCGAGGCGAGCGACTGGCTGTACGAGGAGGGCGCCGACGCGTCCCGCGACGAGCTCAAGAAGAAGTACAAGGGGCTCCACGACCCCGTTACCAAGATCCAGAAGAGGAGCGAGGAGGCCGAGAAGCGCCCTGAGCTGGTCAAGGCTCTCAAGGAAGCCCTCAACTCCACCCAGACCTTTGTCGGCACAATCAGGAAGCAGATTGATGAGTACGATGAGTGGCACGCCTCGGCAGCCACCGAGACTTCCTCCAGCACCTCTACCG